CAATACAAAATTCCAACAGATTATTGTGTAAAAATAATGTTTTAAACAGTGATTTTTTTTTTTGAAAAACGTGTCGTTAGAAAGTGGGAAATTTTTTGAGTTTACATACAAAATATTTTATTGTATTAATATGTGATTAAAAATAAATTATTTTATTTTAAAGAAAGTTAAATAAGGGCTTAATCCCTACCAAACAAACAGGAGCGAACGAGAATATCACGTGGTTGATACTGATGCAGCTCCAAATCTTATTTTCTGTTTTACTTTCATGCTTATAATTTTAAAACATGTTTTTAAAAAAATAAATAAGTGGATGAGACGATAAATGACTTATCTTCCAAAAATTTCTGACGGGATGAGGAGGATCACTCTGTCGAGAAATAGAAAAATAAAAATGTGCACTATGAACTTAGGCCCCGTTCGAAACCTGAATTTTCCAAGTTTTGGACGGTTTGGTAGCCAACATTTTCCATGGAATTCCTTTTCCAATTTTTCACTCACGCGCCTCCTTTTCCCACTTTTCAATGAAATTGTTTTCTTGTTGTTTTGACGGTTTTTGGTTTTCCAACTTTTTTTTTTTATCACTTTTATTGACAATTTTCATACAAAATAAAGCCAAACGAACATTAAACTTTCAACATTTTCAGGTGACAAATTATACCAATCAAACACAATTAATTACAATTTCCAGCAAAACAAATTCTAAGCAATTCAATTCCCTATAATTCATTTTCTTTCCACTCAAATTCCACACTTACAATCAAACAGACCCCTAGAGGCTTTGCATTCGGAAGTAACAAGAAAAAATATAAATTCTACATTGATCGTATTCAAATAAAGAAAGAAAAAAGGAATAATTATATCGATAGTTCCAACTAATAGAATTAGGCACTCGTCGTCAATTTATACAAACACGAGAAATTGTATGAAATTAACTACGACGCCGTAAATAATGTAAAGAAAAGAATGAAGACGTTGAAAATCCCTCCTCTATAATCTTGTAGACAAACCTGAATTGTTCATTTCGATTTTGAATTGGTTGAAAAATTGAAACAACCCGACCTACTCCCATTCCTGCTAAGATATGCGGATTTCTCTTTAGCTTTGCTCAATTATGTTGATTTAGTTGTTGAAATTAAATTTAGATTTCAATTGATTCGAGTATTCGATAAAATATTGCAATTTTTTTTTCTATAATTTATTTACTTGTGAATTCCTGTATACTGTTTAAACAAAAAATCATCATTGAAGAATGAAAATCTAAAATCTAAAAAATTGCCCAAAAAGAAAATTTATTACAAGTGAAAATCTTGTAATCCTCCCTGTTGAAGGGCTTCTTCCAAGAAAAACTCAGACTGCTCCATCAAATCAGGGCTTAATGTAAACATCAAAACACAAAATTCC